GGACCCCGCAGCTGCCACGTGCTCCTGCTGCACCACTTCCTGCCCATCCCCAGGGCAGGACACAGGGTGGGACATGGGACATATGCAGAGCAGGCCATCCTCACAGCCAGATGGAAACCATCCACAGCCTGAGAGTCCTGCTGGGGAGTGTGTCTGCTTGGTAGCTCGGCCGTTTGCAGGGTGGCTTTGAGCTCGTGTCTGGGAAGGCATTTCCAAAGGGCAGGGCACCAGAGCTTCACCAGCAGCCTGGATTCCTAAATCTGCATGACAGGCTGGCTGCATCCAGGGTATCCATGTACCATGAACGAGCTACTGGTGGGATGCAACTCTCACAGAATCATAGAATCACACACTGGTTTGGGTTGGAAGGGGCTTTAAAGCTCACCTTGTTCCACCCCCTGCCATGGGCAGGGACACCTTCCACCAGCCCAGGCTGTCAGAGCCCCACTGCAGGAGAGCAGACCCTCCTTGGGAGGGTGTCCCTGGGCCAGTCTGCATTTCAGACCAGCACAGCCCCTGCTCCCTCCTGCCCGACCTCCTGGCACTGCATCAGCCCCCCCAGTGGTGCTCAGGGAAGGGCTGTGGGTGCTCTGGGAGTGGTGGGAGGCTGAGCCTGCCAGGCTCCTGGGGCCGTGGTGGCACTGGGAGCTGGCACTGGGAGAAGGTCAGTGCGTGCAGAGCAGGCTCAGGCTGTCAGCACAGCTCTGCTGAGCCCCTGCAGGGGGGGCAGCCAGGGGGGCCCTGCTCAGGGCTGTCGGGCAGCACTGGGGGGCCCTGGGAGAAAAGTGGAGGTTTGGGCTAATATTTTAAAAGAGGAAACAGGGTGCCGTGGGTAATTTCAGGTCTGTCAGGCTGACATTGATCCCAGGGAAAATAGTGGAACAGCTGATAGGGAATGCAATGAATAAAGAATCCTAAAGGGTGATATAATTAATGCCAATCAACAGGGATTTATGGAAAAGAGATCCTGTTAATCCAATCTGACACCTTTCTTCCTGTTGTTTTTTTTTTCCTCTTTTCCTTTAAAACCAGGATTGCATTTCTCTGTCAAGGTGGGGAGGTTTGCTGAGGACACTGGAGCAGCAAGGGATCACCTGGACACTGTGTGTTTTCTCATAAAAAAATTGGAAAACCCAAAAAACATATTGGTTAAGACCACATTTTGGAGCTCATGAGTGGGCACAGATTGTCACTGCAGGGTCTGCAGGGGATTGTCCCCCTGGCTGGTCCCACCAGCAATGGGAAGGATGCTCTGGGCTGTGTCCCCAGTGCACTAGGAGCAGAGATGTTCTGCTGGGATGTCACAGGGGGGGCTGGAGGGACACACTGCAGGTGATCTGCACAGTGGGGAGCACTGGGCATCAGGTTGCCATGGAAAGGCCTAATAATGCTGGTGGGAAGAGTTCAGAAGAGGCCACAGAGATGCTCCAGGGCTGGAGCCCCTCTGCTCTGGAGCCAGGCTGGGAGAGCTGGGGGGGTTCCCCTGGAG